ATCTAGGCCCCCATGTGAGAACAGAGTTGAGTTCCAGCAGAAGGAAAGAGGAGGAGCCGGTACCGAGTGGGCATTTTGGGAGGAGATGCCAGGGTGTCCAGGGTGCTTTGGAAGGCCACCTCCTGGTTAGGCAGCAAGACTTTTTTTTTTTGGCTGGGACCCAGTGCTGTCTCCATATCCCCCTCTCTGGACTTTGCCAGGAAAGGTATGTTAGGGCAGAATGAAGACCCTCCAAATGTCCACATCCTAATCCTTGGATATGGTGTCCTGGTGGATTAACTAATGGTCAACTTGGAATGCCCAGATGAACTGAGTCAGTGTGGTTCTGGGTATGGAAGACCCACCTGAGGATTGTTACCAATGGCATAAAAAGAGAATTGAAGGGGAATACTATTGCTGTTGATTTTCTTGGAGAAGCCTGCCTTACGGTGGCTGGTTTTCCTGATACAAACTTGGCTGTTCTCCTGTCAGAGCTCGGGTCCTCACTGTCACTGGGGATGGCTGTTGCTCTCATCAGGGAGCTCTGATCTTTGCTTTGAGCATGGCTTCCTGGCTCCAGCACAGATCCCTCAGCCTGGCAGCACAGAGGCTTCATCCCACTGGTGCAGGCTTTTTAGCTTCCACCACTGGTCTTTGGGCCTTCCTGGTGCAGATCCTTTTTTTTTTGGTACCAGGGATCGAACTCAGGACCTTGCAATTGCGAGGCAGGTGGCGGAACCACTGAGCTACATCCCCGACCCCTGCAGATCCTCAGTATGGACTCGCATAAGACATTGCCGTGGGCTCTAGGCCTCTGGCTGGACTTCTGGAGGACATTGCCTTGGGTTCTAGGCCTCTAGCTGGACCTGTGTGGGGGATTGCTGTGGGATCCAGGCCCTCAGCTGGATTCTTCAGGTCTCTAGTGTATGGACAGATCTACTGCACTCCTCTGCATTTAACTTTTTGGGTGAATTATTATAAAATAATACTATAAATTATGTCTTATTTTGTGTGTGTGTGTCCTGTATTAAATCTATTCCCTTTGAAACACTGACTACAACAGGTGTTTTTTCTGGCAAAGAGGAATTCTGCCCTGATCCACATAGCGTGGGGTCTGAAGCCAGGGAGAGGAGTGGGAGATGAGCAAAAATGAAGAAAAATGAAGAACACCAAGATTACGCTTGAAAGCTGGAACCAGGTACAGCCATGGCCTGTTGGGAGCTAATGGCAGCCTGGGGTCTGGTGCGCTCTTTGTTTATAGTGTAAGACAAACAGGAGAGAAGGCAGGGTAACTAGTGCTACGTGGCCTAGGCTGAACATAGCATGCTGAACGTAGCATGATTGTCTCGTGATCTGGGCATGCATAGAAAGGGAACAAGGAAGAAGGATACATAATATAACTGTCTCCTGGGGCTGTGCCATCCAGGGTCTACAATCTTAGACAAACAGACACAGTCTGTTTGATTTATCTAGTTTATGAAGGTGAAAGGGAGTAGGGAAGAGGCGAAGTGCTATACTTGGACCTTGCACTTGCGAGGCAGGCAGCAGCACCACTAAATCCCCAGCCCTGGACTTTTTTTTAAAACAGGGTCTCCCTATTCAGTTTAGGTTGGCCTTAAACTCACTATGTACCCCAGTCTGGACTCAAACTCATGGTGATTCTCCTGCCTGAGCCTCCTGAGTGCCACCACACCCAGCACCAGCTGACTTTAAGTAGAGATTATTATGGATTATTCAGGTGGACTCATGTAATCTTTGAGTCTTTGTAAATGGAAGAGGGAGACAGGCAGTCAGAGGGAAAGGCTGGCTGGGCCTATAGCTAATGCCTATAATACCAACTACTCTAGAGGCTGGAGCAGGATTATTGCAAGTTCAAGGCTAGGCTGGGCAACTTAGTGGGACATAGCTGGGCTGGGACATAGCTGAGTTATCGGTATGGTAGGGCACTTGCCTAGTGTGCATGAGGCCCTGGGTTCAGTCTCCAGTACCAAATTAAAAGAACAAAAAGGCTAGGTGTGGTGGCACACACCTGTAATCCCAGCACTTGGGAGGCTGAGGCAGGAGGATCATGGTTCAATTTGAGTCCAACCTATAGACTACATAGTGAGTTCAAGGCCAACCTGGACTAGGTAGGGAGACCCAGTCTCAAAACAAAACAAAACAAAACAAAACAAAGAAAGGCTGGAGTGTTGGGAAGAAAGATGTCACACTGCTGCTGGCTTTGAAGCTGGAAGAAGGGGCCATGGGTCAAGGAACAACATGGGTGGTCTCTGGAAAAGTTGTAAAGAGCTTTTCCCCTAGAGCTTCCAGGAAGGAGCATAGCCCTGTGGATTCCTTGATTTTAGTGACTCATGTCAGATTTCTGTCCTACAGAACTGAAGGATAACAAAGCGGTATTGTTTAAGCTGTTAGATTTGTGGTAACATCACAGCAACAATAGGAGACTAACTCAGAGGCTCAGTCACATGTCTCACATCAGGAATCAGTGACATCTGCCTAAGCATTTAAGACTGCAGATGGGGATCAATCAGGCCTGGGCCAAAGTGAGGGTGGAGACTCGAGACGCCAAATCTCAGTATGGTGTTGACCTCAGGCCAGTCCTGGCTGCTCATCTATCCCACCAGTTAATGCAGCTAGAGGCCGTTGGGATCCGAGGACACAAGGAGCTGCTGGCTGGTGCCCAGCTCCCCATATACAGCCAGCAAGGCCACTCTTGAGATGCTGAGTTATTGGAGGTGATGGACACATGGCCAGCTGAGCTCAGCCTGAGGGCCTGAGGCCCACAGCCTGAACCACTCCTGCTGACCCGTTTAGGATGGGGTTGGAGGGCCTGCTCGTGGTCCTGGAATATGGGGGGTGTGTGGCTGGTCCTTCTTTTATGGCCCCTGGTTTCTGATCTGTCCCACTTATCCTCTCTCCCAGACTGATCAGTGTCTACTTCACTTCCAGGTGTCTGTGCTGATCCTCCTCCAGTCTGATTTTCTGTCTAAAGCTGCCCAGGGTTATTACCCCACGGGCAGACTTGCAACCTAGGCAGGCCTTATTCCTAGTATACAGCTTAAGAAGCTGGAGTCTCCAGAGGCCACTGCACCCAGGCAGCAAGGCCAGTACTGGATCTTCTTTGGGACCCTGGCTCCGTAGTCTCAGGCACAGAAATGCATCTATTTTTTTTCCCCCCTCAGGGCTGAGGTTGGAAACCGGGGCCTCACACATGCTAGACAAGTGTTCTACCACTGAGCTACACCTCAGCCCTGAAATATAACCATTATTATTATTACTATTATTATTATTATTATTATTGCGGTAATGGGGACTAAGTTAGATCCTCAGCCCTTGTAAGAAATAAAAGGAGAGGGCCGGGGATTTAGCTCAGTGGTGAGTGGTGCTACCACCTGCCTTGCAAGCACAAGGTCGTGAGTTCCAAACCCAGTATCAAAAAGAAAAAAAAAGAAAAGAAAAAGAAATAAAAGGAGAAAGAAAAACTTGCAGCAAGGACAGGCTTTATTATTTAGGATAAAGACTTGGAAGGGGCCATTGGGTCCAAAGTGCAAAGTGCAACTCTCTCTTACAGAGTAAGGGTTTACCTATAAGGCGTTAAAAAGACCGAGGAGCCAAGTGTTGTGGCATATGCCTGTAATCCTAGCACTCTGGAAGCTGAAGTAGGATTAGTCAAGAGTTGCAGGACAGCCTGGGCTACATAGTGAGTTCAAGGACAGCTTGAACTACATAGAGATCCTGTCCCCCACCCCCCAAAAAAGGCCCGGGATTTGGTCTCTGAGTCTGGGGTCACTGGTCCATCTGGTGTTTGCACAAAGTTTCCTATTCAAGAGGTTCAATGTCTCTTGATCAGGAATGTTTTGTACAGTAAACAGATTTAATGGGTTTCCTAATTACGAGGGACAGAAGAATGTGGGGAAGGGTCACAACTCATGGGAAAATGTTCATAGCTTTTCCTTTTAGCCCTTTTTATTCATTTTTTAAAAATCTGGAGAGAAGGTCTTGGTAAATTGCTAAATTGCTCAGGCTGGGCTGGAATTCATAACCATTATTATACTTATCAAAAATAACTTTAAAACTAGGTGTGGTGGTACATGCCTGTAATCCTAGATCTTTGTGAGGTGGAGGCAGGAGGACAGCAAATTGGAGCCTAGTTGAGGCAATTTAGCAAGACTCTGCCTCAAAATAAATAATAAAAAGGGCTGGGGATGTAGCTCCATGGGAGGCCCGGGTTAAATTCCCAGTGTGCAAAACAATAAAACAAACAATATGTATATGTAAAATAAAAATATCTTTAAAATCTTAACAGTAATAGAAAAAATATTAAAATATTAGTATTTAAAAATCCATCCTCATATTCTGGAAAGAATTAGGGAAATAAAAAAAAAGGAATTAGGGAAATATAAAGAAAAAATCACCCCATGGGCTGGGGATTTAGCTCAGTGGTTCTGCTGCTTGCCTTGCAAGCACAAGGACCCGAGTTCGACCCGCGGTACCAAAAAAAAGAAAAAAGGAACTAATCACCCCAATTCTTCCATCCAAGAGTGGCACTTGGCACCCAAATTTCTGCCATCAAACCCCACTCTTGCACCCGAGACTCCCTGTCTGCCTTAGATTCAGCGCCGCCGCGCCTTCACCTCTGGGGTTACAGGTCTGGGGGAGGTCGCTCAACCGGATATACTCGTTCCGGGCACCTGTCATCTCCCGGTGACCAGCGAGGACTCGCGGCTCCTGGGGACTGAGACGGGATGGGGAGTGCTCGTTTCCCCGAGTTCGTCCCGCGCTCTGAGACGCGTCCGCTCGCCCAGGTGTCTGGGAGCTGCAGGCGGCGCCGGGGAGCCGAGATTCTGCTGTCCCAGGAACTGAGGACGCCGCTACAGTGGAGGAGGGACTTGGGGACAGGGCGGGCGTGGGCGGTGCTCTGGCGCCCGAGGCGGGCGGAGGCCCGGGCGGGGCTCGTACGTGTGTATACAAGTGCGCGGCCCCAGCCAGCAGCCCGGACTACAAGTTCCAGGGTGCCCAGCGGCGCGCGCGGGTTTTCTGGCTGCGCCGCCCGCCGGCTCCAAGCAGGTTGCCCTGTGTTGGCACGCGCCACCAGGTCCCTGAGTAAATAAGGGAGAGAGTCTCCCGAGCACCGTAAATAGAGTCCAAGTGGGCGGAGAACCGCCGCGCGACGCCAATCCATGTCGCTGCAGGGCCTCGTGTCCGGTCGCCTGGCACAGCTGCGCGCGGCGGGGCAGCTGCTGGTCGCCCCGCGCCCCTGGCCCGGTCCCCCGGCGGGGGCCTCGAGGACCTGGGGTAGGGCGTGTGGCCCCTCGGCGTCCCTAGGCGCGCTCGGACCCCGCGCGCGGACCTCGGCGGGAGTTGGGGCTTGGGGGGCGGCGGCGACAGGACGGCCGGCCGGGGTGCGCACCTGGGCCCCTCTGGCCATGGCCGCGAAGGTGGACCTGAGCACCTCCACCGACTGGAAGGAGGCAAAATGTAAGTGGGAGCGAGAGGGGTGAGGGCGACCCACGTGGGGCTTCCTGTCCGACAGAGCCCTGGGAGCACCCTCTCCCACGCGAGACCTGGGAAGTTGAGGGCCCTCCGCCCGCAGGTGGACCCCTCCCCCACAACCACGCCCCCTCCGCGCGTCCTGCCCCCCACGCCCGCCCCCCACATCAGGTCCAGTCTGCCGGCAGCCTCCCCATAGAAGGGTCCCAGGGCACCTACTGTACTCCTGTGCAGGAGGGAAACTGAGGCCCAGGGCCCAACCCAGTTCCCTAAGGTCACTCAACCAATTTGGGGTTAGGATCCAGACCTCCTCATAGTATGGTTCTCAGGTGGTGGCATCTGAGGCGCATGGTGGGGCAAGGACTGAGGGGCTGGCAGCCTGTCTTGGGGGTTAGATGGCACCACAGAGTGACCTCCCTGGGCAGGTCTGACCTGCCCAAACCCGACCCCAGTGCAGGTCTCCTGGGCACGTGGTCTGGTACCCTTTGACCCTCCTGGCTTGTGGCCACTTGGGAGCAGTCTTTGCCCTTTCCTGGGTAACAGAGGTTTGAAACTGGGGAGCCCATGGAGTTGGGGTATTTGCCTGTGAGGACCACAGATCTCTACACCCCCAAAGAAGCAAACTACTTCCTCCTTGTCCTTGAGGGACATAGGTTCTGGATCCATCAGGGATCCTAGATGGGCATGAGTCCCTTGACTGGCAAAGGAGGAGAGGGCACCTGCAGAGCCCCAAATAGCCCTGTCCTGTGCCCAGCTGCTCCTGTCCTTCAGAGCCTGCCCCTGACTCCTGGGACTCCTGGCTGGATCCTCTTTCAAAAGGGCATCAAACGCTACCCATTGGGTAGCGTTGGGTTGCTGGCTGGTGTGACTCAGGGCAGGGCTGGACGAAAGGGAAAGTGGCTGTTTGGGCACTGTAGAAAATAGCAGTAGAAATCAGAATGACTTGTTTCTGTGTTTGAATTGCATTGCCTTCCCTGGGACTCTGAAACACCTTATATTGCTCTCTGAGCAAACAGAGAACCTGTCACCCCTCAAATCTTGCTGGTTGCAGCTGGCAGAGAGCCCTGTATACCAACCACCCTGCTCTCCGTCAGGAAAGATCCAGCCCCTAGGTCCCCCCAGCCACTGGGAGTACTGGGCCTGGAGAGGCCATGGGACGTGGGCTCCCAGGCTGTGACTTCTGCTGGAATTGGGATTTCTAACCACTCATGCACTGCATTTCTTATTGGGTGTCTGGCATGTGGCCAGCACTGTTTTGGTGCTGGCATACAGCCATGAGTCAGACCAGGCCAGGGCTCCCTGGCCTCACAGAGCAGGAGGAGGGAACAGTAGCGATGTATTCAGGCAGAGGAGATGATGCCAGGTAACATCAGCACCATGAAGAGAGTATGGCAGTGGAGTTGTGGTGGCACATGCCAGTAATGCCAGTTGGATAGGAGGCTGAGGTAGGAGGATCCCAAGTTTGAGGCCAGCCTGGCAACTTAGTGAGACCCTATCACTAAAAAAAAAAAGGGCTGGGAGGTACCTCAGTGGTAGAAGCTAGCATATTTGAGGCCCTTGATTTTATCCCCAGCTCCATGGGGGAAAAAAGTAAATAGAAAGAAAGAAAGGGCCATAGGGCAACCTGAGCTGGCAAGGTCTGAGGCTTCTCAGGGGAAGTGACCTGAACTGAGTCCTGAGAGGAAGGAGCTGGCTGGAGCAGGAGATTCCAGGCCCATTGTGGAATGAAAGCTGGTCACAGCCAGGGGACAGTGCTAAAGTAGGGGGTCCCACTGCCACCAACTGCAGTCTCATCCTAGAAACCCACAGATGCCAGCACTCAAGTGCAGCACTTTACAGTTGGTGTCAGATGGTGGGCTGTGTTGTAATCCTTTGTTGCTGTGTGAGAAAGTGCCCCACATCTTAGTGATTTGAGACACTGCTATGTGTCATCTTGGCCACAGATGTCAGGAATCTGGGAGTGGTTAGCAGGGTGCTTCTGGTTCAGGTCCCTGTGAGGTTGGCAGGGGCTACATCAGGCTGGAGGGTCTGCTGCCCCAACATCTCACTGACGTGAGCACGGGATGCAGGTGCAGGGGCTGGGAGAATAAGCTGGAAGCTGAAGTGCCTTTTGGTGACTCATCTTCAGAGTCCCACTCTACCTCTTCCACGTTACGGACTTAGAAGTGAGCCAGGAGCCTGGACCACACTCCAGGGGAGGGTAGGTGGGCTCCTCCTGTTGTTTTTTTTAAATTTGTTTTATAGGTGGTGCTGGGGAGGGGACCCAGGGTCCCATTCATTTGAGGCACACACTGCACCCTTTGAAGGGGAGAATCAATGGGAGGTCTGCAGGGCTGGCCCAGCTGGCCTCTGCCTCTGATTGGTCTAAGCTGTGGTGCTTCCCACTTCTGACACTTCTTTCATTATGTTAAATTGCACTTGGAGCTGAGTTGGATCCTGCAGTGGCATGCACCCAGGGTCCCAGTCTTGAGTGTACAGTGCCCACCCCTCGTGTGGTCACCCCTGTGGGCAGCAGGTGACACATTGCCATCCCCAGAAAGAACTTCCTCTCACTAGTGCCCCCTGGAGGTCGTCGGTCTTCTCACTCTCCGTTTTGTCTCTTCCTCCTTTTTTCAGTACTAGGAATTGAACCTCGGGCCGTAGCACTGAGTTACATCTCCAACCCTTTTAAATTTTTATTTTATTTTCCTCAAGTCATTAAGTTGCCCAAGCTGGGCTGGAACTTGTGACCCTCCTGCCTCAGCCTTCCAGTGTTGGGATTACAGAGCTGCACCATCACACCTGGCTGAGAGTCCAGTCTTATTGGCAGACTCCTACAGTGCCTGATTTCACTGGCCAGCTGTGCATTTCTCCAATTTAATCCCCTCAGTTCTGGGTGCACCATGTCTCCTTATCCCCTGCGTCACTTTCTCAGCAGACTGAAACCATTGTGCTGTGAAGGCAGGTGGGCATGAGGGGATTTATAATGAGACTGCTGGGGCTTCTGGGCCCTGGTCTCTGTCCTTTGTCCCAGCCCACACTGAGGACAGAGCCTTATGCTAAAAAGAGGAGTGGCCTTGCTGACTTTAGGCCTGGCTAGTCCCCAGTGCTATGGCTTCCATGCTCTCCAAGCTTCATTTTCCTCATCTGTAAAATGGGACAATGGCACCTGCTTGGAGATTGTGTTGGGACCTCATGAAAAGGGATAGTCAGGTAGTGGTGTTGCATGTCTGTGATCTCAGCACTCTGTGAGGCTGAGGCAGGAGGATCCTAAATTCGGGTCCAGTCTGGGCAGCTTAGCAACTTACAGCGATCCTGGGGCCTAAATGAAAGGGCTGAGGATGTAGCTCAGTGTGAAGTCCCCGGCTCAAAAGAGTGGCGCCCTGCATAGGGTCCCTTTCCTTGTCCCTGCTGGTGCCCATCTCTTATCTCTAATCTGTGATGGGCACAGCGACCCTGGGAGCTTGCAGTCTGCAGTGCTGGAGGTGCCCCTGCACATTCTGGGCCATGTGTCCCCTCCCTGGTGGCATCTGGTTGGGCTCATAAAACACTGGGCAGGGGCCAGGGCTGATTTTAGGTCCCAGGGGACTGATGTGACTGTCAAGCTGGCACATTTTCCAGGAATTAGGGGCATGGAGTTCTCTCACCTGTCATGGGGATGCAGCCTTGGCATGTGCCAGTGCAGGTGGAAGCAATGGGGACAGCCCTGGAGTGCCTTGTGCTCTGTCACTCCCTTGGTGTGCCATAGGCTTTGCCGAGCCCCTGCCTCTGGGGCATGGTGACCATTCAATCAGTGCCCCTCCCACTGAGTCCAGACTCCGAGATGCATTCTGGCACCCAGTGCTGTTAGCCCTGCCCACCCGCAGTTTCCAGAAGCTGAGCCCTCTTCGTGGCCTGCCCTCGCCTCCCTGAACACCAGCTTCAGAAGTGCCATAAAGACACTCCTTAAAGCACATCATTGAATTCCCGTTTGTCCATTGTACTTTATGGCCCTGGTGGAGCCGCTTCCTCCTGCTCAGCTCTGGTGCCCATGAGCTGCTGGAAGCCGAGTAAGGGGTCAGGCTTCCCCATCAAAATTTACTGTGAACATCTTTTTACAACACTTGTCTCAGTGAGCTGTGAAATACTTTCGCCTCTGCAAAAATGAAAGAAAATGAAAATGCGTGTTTTACATCTTTGATAAAAAATAAAACTCACTTATGCTTTAAGTCTGTATCTGCCCTGGCAGGAGGAGGTGGACTGCGTTAGAGTGCATGGGGTGCGTGCCCAGCCTCACAGGGAGGGGGCAGCCTGTGGTGCACGGGTGGCGGGTGAGGCCCAAACCTCAGGGCAGAAGAGAGGCACAGTTGACTTTTTCCTTCCCGGTAAATCAGGGACCGTTGTGTGGAGTATAGCAATTTCAGGGGTCAGCTGGGCTGAAACCTTGTTCTGGAGATGGGGACACTGCACTTGGCATGCTGGCCTTTCGAGGTGCTCATGGGACCCTCAGAATGGCAGGGACAAGCTGACAGATGTTCCCATGGTTGGTGCCAAGCAGGTTGGTGGCAGAGCCAGGATTCTGTCTCCGGGAAGCAGTGCTGTCTCTAGGACTTCAGTGGAAAGAAGGGGTCACACAGACCAGGTCACTGTGGTTGGGGGGGACAATTCCCCATGTTTCTTTTATTTGCTTGTGATCAGAGGTGTACATAAAGCAAGGCGGTGACACCAGCCAGTTGATATCTGCTGAAGGGCCTGGGGTGTCTCTGGTACCCTGGGCTGCTCAGGGCCGACCCAGCCTCAGTGGCGCCACATGTGCATGGCTGGTGGGTTGGTCTGTAGCCAGGCAACAGGCTGTCATCCTCACAGCAGGAGCCTTGGCTTTCTGGCCCTGGGCCCAGCTGGCTGGCAGTGCCCACACTCGGCCATGCCAAGGCCAGGGGCCGTCTTCAGGCATGACCAATATGGGGACCCAAATAATTTTAGTGTATGTGCTGATGAAACGAGCACAAGGGACCCAAATAATTTCAAAAGCTCCTCCACCTCCTAAGTGCTCCAGTTGGAAAACAATTTCTCCTCCCCAGTTGTGTCTTGTCTGGCTTGTCTTGTCTCTGCTCACTGACAGGGTGAGTGAGGTGGATGTGTCAAGTTGGCCCCTCCTTTCTGACCCCAGTGCAAGCCACTGGGGTCTCCACTGCAGAAGTGAGGAAACTGAGGCTCCAGAAGGGCAGCCACCCTTGAACGTGATGTTGGGCGGTCCGGACCCCACAATTCATGGGGCCTGCTGTGCAGGAGGAATAACAGCACCATCCTAGCAGGGAGCTGGCCCCACCAGTTCACCCTGACACCCTGGGCTTTGCTGTCTGGCTCAGCCATTCTGGCTTCTCCCCATTTCTCCACCCCATGCTCCCCTATCCTCAGGGCATTGGCACACGTGGGTCCCCTTGCCTGGAAGAGCCATCTCTTCTCAAACTCCCCCTTGGTCTTTGGCTGTCAGCTCATTCATTTAATGGTTCATCCCACAGCTCCCCATGGATGTTCACACGTGCTGTGCACTGTGCCTGTGGTGGGGGTGACTCTTAAGAGGCCTACAGCTGGGTGGGACTTGAGGTACGAGGAAGGAAAAGAAGGGACCACTGGTTTAGGGTCCAAGAAAAGAAAGGGAAGAGGGGCCAGGTGGGAATACCATGTTTTGGAGGAAGGAGTCAAAATTGTGTTTTGCACTTGTGAGCTTTGAGGGATGAGAGCAAGGGGGCCTATGGACTGGCTCAGAGTAGAGGAGGGCCAGCCTGGTACATAAAACAGTTTGAATCCTGGGATTGATGTGGAGATCTAGGGAGGGTATGGGTTGAAAGAAGAGGCGAGGCAGCTGGAGACTTCCAGTCCACAAGGGAGGATGCACCAGGTGTAGTGACCATGACCTTGACCTTGGTGAAGAAGGGGCTGAGGGGAGCCTGGGAGGGAAGATGTGGAGGAGGCCCGTAGACAGCGGGGGAGTGTGGGGTCCAGGGGCCATGAGTGTTTGAGGACCAGGGCAGCTGGGCAGGGGGAAGAACAAGGAGGGAAGGACCTTCATGCCTGGTGACCAGAGGGAGGCAGGACCAGGCGCCAGCAGATGGGGGAGAGGGGGAGGTGGGGGAGAGAGCTAGGGGAGGTAGCAGCGTCTGATGGCTGCAGTTTCTTTCTCAGTGTCTCAGTGCAGCTGGAGGAGGAGTGGGGAGGGAAAGGGAGTCCATTTCCAAAGCAGAACTGCAGCCTCCAGGGGGAGAGCAAGAATTTGGGGGGAGATTCTGCTAGTGGTGGGGTTTCCTCTAGTGACATGGAGCTCCTGGGAACAGACCAGAGGGGTTGAGGTTACCTCCTCCTGGGTGCTTTCCTGTTCTCCCTTCCCCTGGAGCTCACCTGCCTGGATGCTCCATAAATATTTATTAACTGATCAAGCCTGGCCTCTCCTCTACAATTCGGTCTTTTCCCTTGGAGGTGCCACTGACCAGCAGCCCACCTCTGTGCTTATATACACTAAGCCCGGACCACTAATTATGTAGCGCAGATCAGGAGGTAGCTTTCCGTATCCTTGTTTCTTTTTTTGAGATGGGGCCTTGCTCTGTAGCCTGGCCTGGGCTCAGATTCCTGGGCTCAATCAGTCCTCCTGCCTCAGCCTCCCAAGTGCTAGGTCTACAGCTATGTGCCACTGTATCTGTGTCTCTATAGTGGAGGCTTGGAGGGTTCTTCGGCTTCTTTCCAATCTTAGCACCCCCTTCCGCAAGAAAGGAGCCCCAGGGCACCTCAGATCTTGTTCCAGGTCATGTGCCTGGGAGAGGAGGCAGGGAAACGGGGTGTGAGCATCGGGGGACACTAGAGAGGGAAGGTGGTAGGAGTGGCCTTGGCTCTTAGAATGGCAGTGGCACTTTTCAGGGATGGCCTTAACCTGTGTCTGGTGACAGCATTTTTGACCTAATTATGGTGTCTGGGGTGAAATGGATCCTTACCAGGCCTTTGAGGTTCTGCTGTGGGTCATTCCCCACCCTCTTCTTAGATGTCCCTTCTGCTGGGAGTACTCTTCCAGCTCAAACTACCTCCCTCCCCTCTCCCTTCCCAGTGTCCCCCAGGGTTCCAGTCACCTCCTCTCCCAGCCCCAGAATGTCTCTTTCTTGGTCTTTCTCAGAATTTGAGTGCTAGATTGTGTGATACTTGGATCAGCCTCAGTGTCTGTGACTGGATTTTATTTTATTTATTTATTTTTCTGAGAAAGAGTCTCACTATGTAGTCCAGGCTGGCCTTCAACTCACTAGGTGGGCTAGGCTGGCCTCCAACTTTCACTGACCCTCCCACCTCAGTGGTCTGAGTGCTGGGATTATAGGCACACACCTGGCTTCAGCTGGATTTTAGGTTTGCAAGGGCCACGACCTTGTTTACACCACGTTAAACAAGTGGCCCGAGTATAGGACCTGCATGTCATAGATGCCCAATAAATGCAGTGGACCCAGGTGAGAAGTGGCTGCCACACATCATGGTCCTGGCTGTAGTGGCAGTTACAAAGTTTGTGGTGCTATCTGCTGTTTCTCGTAATCCCCCGTAGCATTGAACTTGACTCTGAACTGGGCCTCTCTGTGGTGTATGTCAGCCAGTGCTCTCACTCTCCTCGGGGTCTTGTCACTAGTGCACGGATGAAGGATAGAGGCTTGGATGGATGAATGGCTTTGGTGGGAGAAGGGCATTTCTATAGGAGCTTCCAGGAGGCGGCCCTTCCGCCTTCACCCCCTCCTACCTGTTTTCGGATGCCTTTTGAGTACCTTGATGCTGTGAGGCCTTTGCTGCATGCACTCACCACCCTACCCGTCCTCCGGGCTGCCCCATCGCCTGAGCTTGGTGCGCAGGCAGGCATGGGCCGGCAGGGGGAGCGCGTGAGCCGCCGGCCTGCTCGGTGGCGAGCCCGGGCGGGCCCCCCTTATCCCGCTTGGGGTTGCGGCCGCCGCAGGGGGAGCCTCCCACCAGAGCCAGAGTCCTTGGGCAGGTGACCCTGGCTCTCCACTCACCAGCTCTGTGACCAAGGGCAGCCTTCCAGCCCCCCTGAGCCTCTGCTTCCTCATTTATAAAATGGGGACATTTCCAGCCTGGCGGCCATTGACCGGGGACCTCAGTCAGTAGTGAGGATGGAACTCATCCATCCTCAGGAAGGATGTTGATACCAGGCACCAGATCTGCTTGCTTCTGTAGTTTTGCGTTTTGTTTTGTCTTTTTGCTGTACCAGGGGTGAAACTCAAGGCTTTCCCACTGAGCTACATCCCCATCTCTCTCTCTCTTTTTTTTTTTTTTTTGGTACTGGGGATCAAACTCAGATCCTTGTGCTTGCGCAGCAGGTGGCGAAACCACTGAGCTAAATCCCTGGCTCCCATCTCTTTTTAAAAAGTTGTTTTTTTGTTTTTTGGGTTTTTTTGGTACCAGGGATCGAACTCAGGACCTTGCACTTTCAAGGTAGGCGGCAGAACCACTGAGCTAAATCCATAGCCCAAACAGTTTTTATTTTGAGACAGGGTCTTCCTAAGTCACTAAATTGCCCAGGTTAGGCTGGAACTTGAGATCCTCCTGCCTCAGCATCTCAGAGTGCTGGGATTACAGGTCTGTGCCTACATCCAGCTTTAGTTCTTCAAAGGCAGTTGGCCTGTCCCCAGATCATGTTGAAAATGTGACTGGTTGATAATGTAACTGAGTGCCACCAAGCTGCCAGACTTAGCATGTGTGAGTCTGAAATTATTCTGCTGGGGAAGTCTTAATCTTCCTTCTATAGATGAAGAAATTAGGGACCTAGGGAGATGGGAACCCAGCTGGGAAGTGGCCAGGCTGAATTCTGAACCAGTCTGTGGTGTCTGAGCAGTTCCTCCACCCGTCCTGGCCTCAGTTTCCCCTTCTAAACAAGGAGAGCAGGGTAAGGTGTTCTTGGGGCTGCTTGGATGCCAACAGGCAGGGAGGGGAGTGTCCCTCCCCCCACAGCACCATGGGAAGGGTGGATGGGGGGCTGGGTTTCATCCTTAGAGTAGGCAGGATTCCCATGAGGAAGGGTAGGCCTGGGGATGGGAGTGACTGGACTATGCCCTCTCTGCCCACCCTGACTCTCCTTCCTGCCCACCCACCCTGCCCTGCAGCCTTCCTGAAAGGCCTGAGTGACAAGCAGAGGGAGGAGCATTACTTCTGCCGGGACTTCGTGAGGCTGAAGAAGATCCCAACATGGAAGGAGATGGCAAAAGGTAGGCCTTGCTCTTGCCAGGCCCCGGTTGGCTCTTTGGCGGGCACCCCCTTTAGAACCCTGGTTTGGGAGAATTGTGCAAATAGAAGACTCCAGTGCTTGCTCTGTGGGGGTCCTCTGAGTGTGCTGCCTCATTTAGTTATTCACATGGCCTGAAGCCAGTACAGTTTTTATTACCAAGACACCTGTTAGGGAAGAGGCACTGGGCCACGAAAGCCACCTGCCTGTGATGACTGGGTTGTCTGGAGCTGGGATTTGCACCTGTGGAGGGCTTGCTTGTAGGGGGGATGCTACGAATTTATGCCTGGTAACCAGCAACCCTGGGCAAGTCACTTATCCCACCCCACCCTCAGTTTCTGCATCTGTAAAGTGGGGACAGATGACATTACCACTGAACCTGCCCATAGCAGTGTTGGAGGTCCTTCACAGCAGGTCCTTCCTCACTATGCCAACTGTCAAGGTGGGGTTGAGCCGGCCTGTGGGCCCTGACTGGGTCCCTCTGCAGTGGGGGCTGTCCTGTGACTCCCAGCCCTTGCCTCTTGCAGGAGTGTCTGTGAAAGTAGAGGAGCCCAAGTACAAGAAGGATAAGCAGCTGAATGAGAAGATCTCGCTGTTCTGTTTCGATATCACCAAGTTAGAGGTGGATGCCATTGTCAACGCCGGTGAGTAGTTGGCCTGGGCCAGAGACTCCGGTAGCTGCCCCATTGGCTTGGCTCTAGTCTGCCGTACAAGGCATGGGTGGGCGCCACCTGGCTCCAGAGAGGCTCAGCTGTCAGGCAAGGATGGCCTGCTGGCGCCACAGGAGCCCAGTATGTCAGCCGCTTGGGCTCCTTTTCCCTCTAAGCCCTGACCCACAGTGTCGGGGCACCTCGCTCTGCTGTGCTGCCTCACAGCTCTGAGAGCCATTAGCGGCAGGAACAGGGGGAGAGCATGGCTGGAACCAGGCTGGGCTGCCCTGCCAGGAAGGCGGAGGGCAGGCCCTCAGGGTTCTGCCTGGGGATGCTGCGGCCCCTTTCCTTCCTCTAACTCCCTCTACACCTGGGCAGGTGAGGGAGTGTGCAGAGGGAAGGATGGGTGCAGGGAGGCCCCCTGCCATTCCCTGGCAGCTCTCCAGCAGCTCTGGAAACAGGAGAGGCTCGGCTTCCTGAGTGTGTGCATCCTCCTCTTGCTGGCTTGGCAGTTTATTGTGATGAGTGCAGAGTCAGAGACGGCTGCCTCTTTGGGGGAGGGAGACAGGCGGCTGCTGCTCTACTCAGCCAGTAGTGGCTGTCTGGCCGAGGTCAAAAGGCTCTGGGGGAGGTCTCTGGAGTGCTCTGGAGTGGGATGTCAAGGGCCAGTCAAGTCCAGCAGGCATGCAGGTGCTCATGGACTGAGGTCAAGTGCAGTGAGGGCTGGGCCAGCTGGCTTGCTCACTCTGCCCCCCCCCGCGCCTCTTTCTCGGGGCCCCTACCCCCAGGCCCTCTTGTCTTGAGCTCCAGGTCAGAGAGAAAACCCTGCCATACCCGCCTCTCCCCAACTGTGCAGGCTCGGGCCCCCCCCAAGAGCCTCTGGAATCTCCTTCCATCTCTCTCTGGGCTTGCAGTGGCTGTGTGTGACCCCCGTGTTGGCAAGGGAGCCATCCCTTGGTGGTGCCTCTGGGTGCGATGCTGTTAGTGACCCCTTGATGTCCCTAAGTGACCAAGCTTACAGAACGTGGGCAGAGGTGGCTGCTCGCCCTGCCCCAGTCCTCCTGCTTGTGGTCTCAATGGTGTCTCTGACAGTGGCATTGCTCTGCATTTCTGCCTGGATGGTGTTGGCGGGACTGTAGTCACATGGGCTATGCCCTTTCCCCCATGTTGCCTGTTGCAGGTACACAGGGAACAAGTCACCTGTAGACAGGAGTTCCCACTCAGAGTGGTTGGTGGGGAGGAGCAGAGGGTGACCTTTGGGGTTCTCCTGTTGGTTCTGGTGAGTGGCCCCCCCAGGACACTGGCACAGGTCGGTGGCAGCGAGGTCTGTGAGTCCATCTGGGAGCCACAGAGCTCAGACAGCCATGTCTTGGTTGGCTGATGCCATGGTGGCCCAGGGGAGAAGGGCATTCTTGCTGCCTGTCTGTGTGACACGGCCTGGGCTGGCCAAGGGGACGGTCATAAAGGCCCACAAGACCCGCCTGGTCCATGGCCCCTGTGACTACAGGTGAGCTTCAAAGTGGCCAGGGGACAAGCGGGCATCTTGGGAGCTCCTTTCCAGCCCGGTTGGTAGTTGACTTCGGTGTGGGCCATGAGGGGGACCCAGGACCAAGGCAGTGTCACAGGATGCAGATGGAGCAAGATGGAGGCTGCAGCCTGATTAATGGCTCCTCCTAAGTGCCCTGTGACTGGTCAGACAGGTGCAGTGGCTCTGTCAGCTCCTTAGTCCAAGAAGCACTTTAGTGCTAGCTGTATCTGGCAGTGCTGAGGCTGGGGCAGGGGACGTTGTTTGCAGTTTCTGTGGGGACTCTGCTTCTCTCTGTACCTGCCTGGCCTCGTTTCCTCCTCTGTACTGTGGGGATGATAGAAGACCACCTTCGGTTTGTGGGAATGCTGAGGTGTGAATGACACTGTAGATCCAGAAGCTCATCACTGCTGTGGGGTTGGGGCTGGAATCAGTGCCCTTGGTGTCCTCCTGGGTGTTACCCCTACCTAAAGATGCCGATGGTCAGCTTTCACCTCTCCCTGCTTGCCTCAGTTTACTCAGCACCTCCTGGCATGTTTTCCTGGGAGCTACTCCTTTTTCTAGTCTCAGTCCTGAGGACCCAGGACCAACCCAGAGCCCCAGAGAATGGCTGTAAGGGCCTGGACATGGGATTCCCACACGGAGCCTGTGCCCAGGCCTTAGGGTGGTCTTGGTCCTAGTCAGTCTTTGGGCATCCTGGGGGGAACCTTACCCCCACCCCACTCGGGAGGGTCCCCTCGGCTGTGGCTCCATCTCGGCCAGCCCGCCCACCAGGGGGCAGCAGAGGTCGCGCTTCCTCGGAGCCCATAAATCAGCCTGTTTATTAGCAGAATAAAAGTCGTAGACAACGCGGGGCTTCTCAGGGCTGCATAAATCTACGTCTGTGCCTCGTGAAATCCATATGTGCTTAATTCATATGTAAAGTTTCAAGCAAGAAGAGAATACGTGTCCATTAAATTCTATTTGAATTGATTATAATCATTAGCTGTGAATAATTGCTTCTCAGTGCTGGACTTGGAGCCACCACAATAGGCAAAAGGAGAGAGCAATTATCTCTGGGTGGGAATTTTAAAATTTTTATTTTTGAAGCCAGGGGCAGTGTTGGCGCCATGGGTGTTGGTGACCCATGGAGACTGGGTGAATGTTGGACGGAGCTGGGGATTGAGGTCTGGCCAGAACTTCTGGATTTGGTGTGTGTGGGTCTCCTTTTGTCCCTGCTGCCAGATGGGGTTGGGCATCACCAGCTGGGCCTCACTTCAGCTGCAGGGACCCTGGAGGGAGGGATGCAGGGGGAGCTGGGGAGGGCCTGTGAGGGAAGGGGGATTGGGACCCCAGTCCCTTCTCTAATCCCTGCCTCCACCCTACTTCCCTTCCCCTCAGGACTTTCCCACTGCCCACCTGGCATTCGAAGTCCAGGACAGATTTTTACCCTGACTTTCTTGGTGTTTGTAATAGGATTTGGGGTGTGTGGTGGTAGGAGTGTGTGTGTGTGTGTGTGTGTGTGTGTGTGTGTGTGTGTGTGATGGGAGTGTATTGTGTATTGTCTGGTATGAGGAGGGTTGAGGTGGAGGGCTGGGCACAGAACACAAGGAGGATGCCTGATGGGTGAGTAGCAGGGCTTGAGGTCTCAGCAACAGCACAAGCCCCTGACCCTCCCAACAGGCACACTGCACCCCACCCCAGGGGCCCTGGCCAAGGTCACTTGCTAGTGCAGTGCCCAGGAGAGGTTCAGGCCCTGACCATCTGCGCCAGCCACGGCTCTTGCCCATGAGGACGTGCCACATCGGTCTTAATTAAATGGTGCTGCCATGCCAGGGAGATAAGCCAGGGGGCCCTTGTGTCCCCCTGGATTCTGAAAAAGCAGGAGATTCTCAGGGACAGTGCCTGCCGTTCCAGGCTGGTCTGTAGCTCTTAGGGCCATTTGTAGGGGGAACTTGGGTCTGAGGGTTTCCACCTGGGAGGGTACCACAGCTTCCAGAGTGTTTGTATCTTCTCTTTGCCACAGGGCATGACCTTCACTGGACCACCTCTGAGCCTTTGAGATTCTTGCTTACCAGGCCTATGCCTTTGTGCCCTTGTCCCAGACAGGAAGTGTCTGGGCACAAAGAAAGACCCCTATTCTTGGCCAGCCCCAGGGTCCAGCTGCCCAGCTGTGACCTTGAGGGCACAACAGGACAGCACATAGATGAATGCAGTGCTTTGTGCAAAGACATTCAGAATCGTTGCCCTCTTCATTGCAGGCCAGGGCATGAGGGTCATGGCACAGAGGCCAGGACAGGCTGGAATCCTTGGAAACTCCGAGTCCTCATAAGAAAAATGGCTTCAGGTTGGGGATTTAGCTCAGTGGTTCTGTCACCTGCCTTGAAAGTGCAAAGTCCTGAGTTTGATCCCCAGTACCAAAAAAAAAAAAAAGAAAAAGAGAAATGGCTTCACTGTCAGCCACACCCCTCCATGTGTGTGAGGGTGGTGATGCCCTTAGGCCATCCAGTGCTAGTGCCCTAGCAAGCGAGCACAGAGAGCCCATACATTAATACTGGGGAACTGAGGAGCAAGAGCAGCTAAGCAGAATATCATGTGACAAAGTACTGGAAAGAAGTACTGTGCAACACCTTGGGGCCCAGTTAATTCAGCAAGAAGGTGCCTGGAGCTGTGGGGGATCTGGGAGGGCTTTGAGGGGCCTGGGTGTACAGGCCGGGCCTGGAGAACCAGTGGGAAGCCGTGTTTCACTGTGACAAGCCTGCCTCATGAGGAGACTTTTAAGCCGATTATTTATTTAAAATAAGGCAGGAAATGGTGCTCTGCTTCCTTAAGTCTTGGGGCTTTGATTTGTGAAAGTCTGCGGACTGTCACTTATCCTTGTCCCCCTCGGAAACCCTGGCCTCTGTCCAGCTGCCTGGGGGCAGTGGAGCAAGCCAGGCCACCGAGCCAGCAGCCCCACCCCTGCTCCTGGCTGTCCCTGGCCACTGCTGGAGTCAGTGATTTAGAGACCGCCTTGATGGACTAGCAAGCAGGGGGGCCGCAGAGATGCTGACTGCCTGGTGGGAAGTGATCTGACGCTAAACTGTCGCCGTAAATCGCTTTATCTGTCACTTCAGATTTAAATGTGTTTGCTGAGGCTTTCAGGCCTCCGAGACAGCAGAAACCTCTGCACAGAGGCAGGGGCGGCGCCTGGAGCCACAGCCAGCAAGGCCAATGTGCATAGGGCTCTGCAGACTGGAGTGGACCGGAATGGGCCAACCTGTTAGTGCAGATCCCGCCCGCCCTGGCCTGGTGCTCCCTCTTCCCCTGGGAACACCAGGTGCCACTTCCTGGGTCTGACCACTCTCAGCCTGTGGGGCCATCTCACAATGCGCATAGCAGGCAGGACAGTCATCAGATTTCAGTGATCAGACTCAAAGAGGTGGCAGCCCCCATCTCACAGGTAACTGAGTCAGGATTGGAACTCAGGGCCTTCGGTTCACCCAGCCGA